GGTCCCTGTCTCCCCCATTCTTAAGTATCTTTTCCTTTTTCTCTCTGTCTTTCACTCCCTCTGTTTTGCTCTCTCCCTCCCTGCCTCATTCTCTCTTTCTGTATTTCTGTTTTGCTCTCCATTCTTCCCTTTCTGTCACTCACTCTCTCTATCTCTTTCTCTGTCCCTGACTCTCTCTGTCTCTCTTTATGTCCGTCACTCTTTGTCCATCACTCTTTATGTCTGTCTGTCTCTCCCCCTCACTTCTTTCTCTGTCTCTCCCTCCCTGTTTCCTTTTCTCTCTCTCTCTCCCCTTCTACCTTAGTCTCTCCTTTCTTCACTCACTGTCTTGTTCTCTCTCTGTCTCTGTCTCTCTGTCTCTTTCTCTCTGTTTCTCTGTATTTCTCTCTGTCTCTGGTTCTGAATCTCTTTGTTGCTTTCTTTCCATCTTTATCTCTCTGTCTGTCTGTCTGTCTCTCCCCATCTCCCCCTCTCCTCCTCTCCCCTTCTCTTTCTGTCTCTCTCTCCTCTGTCTTCCTCCCCCTCTCCCCCTCCCCCTCTCTCTTTCTCTGTCTTTCTGTCTCTGTCTCTCTTTCTCTCTCTGTGTCTCCTTCCTCCCCCCTCTCTCTTTCTCCCTCTTCCCCTCTCCCCCTTCTCCCCTCACCCTCTCTCTTTCTCTGTCTGTCTCCCCCCTCCCCCTCTTTCTCTCTCTGTCTTTCTGTCTCTGTCTTTGTCTCTCTCTCTCCTTCTCCCTCTCCTCTGTCCTCCCCCTCTCTCTTTCTCTGTATTTCTGTCTCTGTCTCTCTCTGTCTCTCTCTTTGTGTCTCCCTCCTTCTCTCTCTCTTTCTCTCCCCCTCTCCTCTTCCCCTCTCTCTTTCTCTCTGTCTCCCCCTCCCTCTCTCCCCCTTCCCCTCTCTCTTTCTCTTTCTGTCTCTCTCTCTGTCTCCCACCTCTCTCCTCTCTCTCTCTTTCTGTCTCCTTCCTCCTCCCCTCTCTTTCTCCCTCTCCTCCTCTCCCCCTCTCCCTTCCCCCTCTCTCTTTCTCTCTCTGTCTTTGTCTGTCTCCCCTTTCCCCCCTTTCTTTCTTCCTCTCCCTCTCTCCCCCTTCCCTTCTCTCTTTCTGTCTCTGTCTCTCTCTCTCTTTCTTCCACCTCTCCCCCCTCTTTCTCTCTGTCTCCTTCCTCCCCCCTCCCTTCCCCTCTCTTTCTCTCTCTCTGTCTGTCTGTTTCCCCCTTCTCCCCTCCCTTTCTCCCTCTCCCCCTCTCCACTTCTCCTCTCTCTTTCTCTCTATCTCTGTCTCCCTCCTACCTCTCTCCCCCTTCCCCTCTCTCTTTCTCTATCTTTCGGTCTCTGTCTCTTTCTGTGTCTCTTTCTCTCTGTCTCCCACCTCTCTCTCTCTCTCTCTCTCTCTTCCTCTCCCCTTTTCCCCCCTCCCCCTCCCCCTCTTTCTCTCTCTTTCTGTCTCTGTCTGTCTCTCCCCCCTCTCTCTCCCCCTCTCTGTCTCTGTCTCTGTCCCTCTCTTTCTCTCTCTCATGCACAGAAACATGCACACACACACACACACACACACACACACACACACACACATGCACCCCTCTCTCAGGGGCAGTGTGGCTTGGTGGATAGAGTTCTAGCCCTGGAGCCAGGAAAACTTGAGTTCCAGTTTCCCTTTGCACCCACACTGACTGTATGACCCTGGATAAGTCACTTATCTTCTCTGCCCTCTAAGACTAACAGCTACATTGGTGGAGGGATTTTTGGTTCATTAGGTTTTTTACTGGGAGTTCCCTACCCCCGTGAAAGCACCACATAAACGTCAGCTAACACTACTACGTACTCCTGTGCCCTAGAAGGGCAGTTTCCCTGACAGCCCTAAAACACAGGCAGCTAGGTGTGAAAGGGAAAGAGAAGTGTGTACCTGTTGTCTTCCTGAGACTGCTAGGTAGTCCAGTGGGACCCCCAATCACCACAGCTCTCTCCCCCCTTTGTACTCCATGTCCTGTAGTCCCATCCCCCCACCCCCCACCTGTGTCATGGGGACTGAGAGCTCATTCCCAAGCTGGAGACTCAAGCTGGGCTTGATCCTAAAGCCTGAGGGCCTTTGAGCCCTCCCAAGGCCTCAGTGGGGCTGATCAAAGGGGTACCAAGCCAGGCTTGGTAGCCATTCAATAACCAAACAAGCAACCATTTAGTCAATTCAAAAGTCTTTATTGAGTACTCGCTAAGAACCACCACTAGGCTCAGTGTAGTGGGGAAGATGGTACAGACTAAGGCCTGCCCACAGCAAGCTTACAGTAAAGCTGGGAGGCACAGCTTACAACCAGGGACAGAGAACTAACATCGCAAGGCGACTGGGCCAAGGGGCCCAATGGTTGAGACAGAGAAGTCGGCACAGGGCAAGGTAGAGAGGGACAGGGTGCCATGAGCTGGAGTGATTGAGGCCAAGGCCTTACAGGAGGGACAGGCAAAGAGTTCTGGGCTAGAGGGCAGGGGAGCCATGTGGGGCAAAGCTGGGCAGGTAGGGCTTGCCAAGATGTGGCACTCAGGCTGGAGCTGGGGACTTCCCATTGGGGACTGAAGGATTTGTCAGAGGCTGGACATGCTCAGGACGAGGAAGGTGCCAACAGGGCCCTCCCTGCTTAGAAGTGGTGGGATGGGGGGGGCAGGGTGTGAGGGGCTGAGGACATTCCCAGTTCTCCCTGATGATCTGGGCTCCCCCTAGGAGGTGACCACTGGGTTTCCAGGGCCCTTAACAATTCTCTCTTTGAGGCCTATCTGCCTGGAGCTTTTGTTGCTGCCCCCCCCCCCCCGGGACTGGGAGCTCCCCTGGGGGCTACTCTGGCTCAGTGAGATGGGCTAAGAAGACAAATCTAAGAGCCTGGGTACAGCCTGCTCCAGAACAGCTCATTCTCTTTCTGAATCCATAAACTGGGTTGAAATCCTTGGAGAGGCTCCATTGAGGCCTTTAAACATACACACACATGCATATGCATGTACACACATGTGCACACATGCACGCACACACACATTCCTTTTGGCTTGGTATCTTTATTTTTAAATTTTTACTATTTCTCAGGAAGTATAGAAAGATGCCAATGTTTTCTTCAGCCCCCACATGCTGTTCTCCAAGCCAAAGAGCATCTCTAGAAAAACTGGTTTCCTTTGCTCTCTTTTTAGTCTAGGGCTCCTGGCAGCAGATGCCCTCCAGAGCACCCAGGCTCCTGGCTTCTACGCTGACTCTAATGGCAGAGGAAGACTTCTCAGTGGAATGTGGGCAATGGATTTGACCCCCTCCCAGCCGGAAGCCCCTTGGGAGCTGGGCCCTCCTCCCTCTTTGCTTCTAACAATGGAAACAAAGAAGTGGCCTTTGGGTTTAGCTCTTGACCAGTCTGGTCATGGCTTTGGAAGGAGTTTTGAGGGGAGGGGTGCGAGGCTGAAGTAGTGAGACTTCAGTCCATTGAGCTGAGAAGGCCTTCTGGAGAGGTGGGGAGGCTAGGGAAGTGGGTGGGTTCCCAGACCTAGAGGGCAGGTCCAGGCCTGTAGACTGAGAAAAAAAGGGCAGGGTGGAGGTAGGGAGGGGGCTGCTAGCTGGGAAAGGAGGCCTGTGGGAAGGCCTGCAGTGTCAGCTTCCACTGGTCAGACCCAAGGGACCCCCAATGTCTGTCCTTTCTTTAGCATTGCTTTTTGACTTGAACAGATGGAAATGTCTCTCCCCAGTGTCAGTGGAGAGCCACGGGCTGGCCCTCTACCATGGCCCACTCCCCCCCTCAAGCCACTCCTTACACATACCCTGTCAGGCTGTAGGAGTTGAATTCACTTTTGCCCTTTGTGGACTGGCCTGGCCGAGGGGAGGCCCTGGTGGCCAAGGGCTGAGCTTGGTAACCGCCATAGTAGGCAGAGCGGTCGCCCCACCGGGCTGGACAAGAGAAGCAGAGGATGGTGCCAGCCACCATGGAGAAGAGGGAGGAGATGATGCCAAGATAGAGGGCCTCTCCGATCTCAAACTTCATGCTGTCGGGTACAAGTGGCGAGTGGAAGTCACGGAGGATCCCGTGGAGATTCCAGACGACAGGGATGAAACCCAGGAGGCCTCCTAGGAGGAAGAAAATTCCTCCCACCACCGCCAACCTGTCTTTGGCTGGGGAGTCCTTGCAAAAGACAGTGCACCTCATGCCCACCACAGAGATGATGCAGGCCAGAGAGGAGATGGTGCTGGAAGCTACCATCATGCCCTGAGCAGCTTGGATGTCTGCAGGCAGCCCCAGCAGGGTACTGTAGATGTCACACTGAGTGATGCCGGTGCTTTGGGTAGCGCACTCCATCCAGAGACCTTTGGAGAAGCCAACGGCCGTGACAATACTGGCCCCCACATAGGAGCCTGTTCTCCAGTTTGGCAGTAGCATGGCTATCAGGGTGCCCACCAGCCCCAAGAAGCCCAGGATATAACCCAGCAGCTGGAGGCCGAGAGATGCCATGATGGTTGGAGCCTCTCAACTGAGAACAGCCCTGTTGCCCTGATGTTGGCTCTGGTTCCCCGGGCCTCGGGTTCCTAGCTCCTCATTGCCGAGCTCCTCTGGAAGGCAGGGCTGTCTCTGTTCCCTCCTCAGGAGTGTCTGACGGTGGCTACAAGCTAGCTAGAGAAGCCACCTAGAAGACAAAAAAAAAAAAAAAAAAAAAAAAAAAACCACATAAACCAGATTAAATATTGACCAGAAGCTTATGAGAAACCAGAAAATGCTGGGCGCTTTTTGACCTTTGTTATCTTCAGAAATAACACACGCAAAAACTTCCCGACTAACTTTGAAAATTGAGCCAAAATGTCATCACCTCCTGCGTAGGCCTAAGCCCCAGGGTGGCAGCCACACAAAGGAAGGGGGCGGGGCAGGCTGGGAGGGGGGGGAAAGAACAAAGACACATGGCCCCGGGGTAGACACTGGCCCAACTTTCTCTGCTTTCCTAGCCAGGAGTCTGACCCCACCTGACCATAGGAGTTGACTTAGGTCAACTGTTATGGGCTGAGGGGTACCCAGAGGAGGAGGGAGAGTCTGGGAGGTGGTAGCCTCCCTGGGACACCAGAGGCTCAGAGGGCACAAACTGGGACCTGAGTCAGTCGCTATGGGACCAGAGACTTTAGTCTGGGTATCAGGAGACAGCTAAGGGGCACACAGTTATCCATACTCTCTACTCAGGTCCTTGGTATGCCCAGGTTTGTGAATAGTTGACTTTCTGCTTAGACTTCCCAGGTGCCTCAGGGCATAAGTTGGACCAGGCTCTGGGGTTGCCAGACAGGGATAACTGTCCAGGGTTCAAATCCCAACCAACTGCTATGGAGGGAGGTTCACAAATAAGTCAATGACAGGCAGATGCCCTATGCCTGGGCTGCTAGACTGGCATGGGCTCTTTGACCACTTCAGGGGCCATCTTGTTGAAGTCCTTCATTCTACAGATGAGGAAACAGGCTCAGGAAGGAGAAGTTCCTTGTCCAAGTTTTCACAGGTAGGAAGAAGAGAAGGCAGATTCAACCCCAGGTCCTCTGACTCCAAACCAGTGAGCGTTCCACTAACCCATATGATGGCCTTGGAAGGAAGGAGAAGGAGGAGGGGGGAGGCTGTCCGTGCAATGGAGAGAATGCTGGATTTGGATCAGAGACCTTGAGGCCAATCCCAGCTCTTCCATTTAGTACTTGTGTGGCCTTGAGCAAGTCACAACCTGCCCCATTCTCCCCCACCCCCCCAGGCCTCAATCTCCTCCTCTGGAAAATGGGAGAGTCATTTGATCTTGATAACCTTGAAGGCACTTAGGAATTTGAGATCTAAGATCCTTTGGCACAAGATGGGGGAGAGGAAAACTATAAGAGAAGGAAAGACATGTATTCCATCTCTCCAATTCGACCAAAAGCTTTCTGAGGACAGAAATGTCACCTCTTCCTTCATTCCCCACCCCACCTCAGCAAGCCCTGGGCACATCCATCCTGCCCTCAAAGATAAAACCAGAAACCAAGGGGGTGGGAGTAGGGCCCAGGAGGGATCAGAACCAGCTGGGGGGGGGGGAGGTGGGAAGAAAGGGAAAGGTTTTCCCCACCTTGGAAAATGATGACAATGACAATGGTGGATGAACATAGGGGAGACTGGTTCTGCTGGTATCTAACACTACTTAAGCTTTCTGCTGGAGTAGAAGTTCTCCCCAAGTGTGATAGGGAGCAGAGCATCTGCTGGAGAAGCAGACCCGAACAGGATCTTCTGGAAGCATGCAGAAAGAGAAAGGGGCTAGCCCCGTCCTCTGCCCTGGGCGGCCCACATGCTGGCTTCACATCTGGGTGTCACAGTTCAAGCTACGGAGCATCCAGAGGAAAGAAGCTAGGATAGCTAGGTGTAAAACTCCATGAAGGAAGTGAGGGTGTCGAGCCCTGAGAAGAGAAACTAGGGGATGGGAGGATGTGTGAGCTGCGTTCAAGAATTGGAAAGGCCAACAAGCAGGACGGCTTCGGAAAAACCTGGAAAGACTTACATGGACTGATGCAAAGTGAAGCAAACAGAACCAAGAGAACACTGTACACAGTAACAGTAATATTGCATGATGACCAACTATGATAGACTTAGCTATTGTCAACAATACAATGATCCAAGACAATTCCAAAGGACTTGTGATGATGAAAAATGCTATCCACCTCCAGAGAGAGAACTGACAGAGCCTGAATGCAGATCAAAGCAGACTTTTTTTTACTTTATTTTTTCATGGGTTTTATTTTTGGTCTATTTTCTTTCACAATATGACTAATACAGAAATATGTTCTGCATGATTGCACTTGTATAACTGATATCAAATTGTTTGCCTTCTCAATGAGCGGGAAGGGAGGGAGAGAATTTGGAACTCAAAATTAAAAAAAAAGAATGTTAAAAATGGTTTTTACATGTAACTGGGAAAGATAAAATATTATTATTATTATTATTATTATTATTGGCTAGGCAATAGGGTGAAGTGATTTGCCTAGGGTCACACAGCTAGTTAAGTGTCAAGTGAGTAAGGCCAGATTTGAACTCAGGTCCGCCTGACTCCAGGGCCGGTGCTCTATCCATTGTGCCACCCAGCTGCCCCCCCCAATAAAATATTATTAAAAAAAAGAATTGGGGCAGCTAGGTGGCACAGCAGTTAGAGCTCTGGCCTTGGAGTCAGGAGGACTTGAGTTTAAATCTGGCCTCAGACACTTGACACTTACTAGTTGTGTGACTCTGGGCAAGTCACTTAACCTGGATTGTCTCACCAAAAAGCAAAAAAAAAAAAAAAGAATTGGAAGAGATATCAGGTTTGTTTGGCCCCAGAGGGCAGAATGAGGAGCCATGGGGGGAAGGCACAAAGAGGCTGATTGTAGCTTGATGGCAGGAAACAGAACTTTATACCAATGAGAGGTGGGATAGGCCGCTTGGGAAGGGAATGGATTCCACCCCATTGGAGGTCTTCAAGCAAAGGCTGGTTGACTACTGGTTGGGGATGCCTTTAGGAAGGGACCAGGATGAGAAAGGGTAGCATGGTGAAGAAAGCAGTGGATTTGGAATCAGAGAACCTGGGTTTAAGCCCTACCTCTTTTCCTTACTACAGGTGTGACCCAAGGCTGACCAGAGTGGAATGGGCTACTTTGGGAAGAGGTGGGTGGTATCTAACTGGTTATTTGGAGGTCTTCAAGTCAAATGACCACTTGTCAGGTATGTGACAGTGAGGTGGAGTCAGACCAGATGGCCACTGAGCTCCCTTCTGACTCTCCGATTCTGTAATTCCCTCCGTCCTCTGTAAAATAAGACTAGATATGACTCCGGAATGTCACTCTCAAGCCCACAATCCTATGGGAGAGTGGAGAGGGAGGCAGGGCCTGGCAGGTTTGTGACAGAATAGAAGGAGTTGAGGCAGCTAGGTGGCACAGTGGATAGAGCTCCAACCTTGGAGTCAGGAGGACCTGAGTTCAAATCCAGTCTCAGACACTTGACACTTACTAGCTGTGTGACCCTGGGCAAGTCACCTGATTGCTTCACCAAAAAACAAAAACAAAAAATAAAGAATAGAAGGAGTTTGGGAGGAGTCCCCTCTTCTCTCCTCTTCCTCCTATTACTCCTATCGCTCAGATGCCTTCTGCCTCTGTCTCCTTCTTCACCCTTAGCCCTTACCAAAGCAAACCCCTCTACCTACACAATCGATCCCATTCCATCCTCTCTCCCCCAACAGATTGACCCCTCTGTCATAAGTTTTCAGGACACCCCTCTCTCTCTCCTGGTTCTCCTCCTCCCTCTCTGACGGCCCCTTCTCTGCCTCCTTTGCTGGATCCTCCTCCAGATCATGCCCTCTGACCCCACATGTCCCCCAGGGCTCTGTCCTGGGCCCTCTTCTCTTCTCCCTCTAGACCCCTTCACTTGGTGATCTCATTAGTTACCTTGGATTTAATGACCATCTCTATGTTGATGATCCTCAAATCTACCTATCCTGCCCCAACCTCTGCTGACCTCCAGTCTCACATGTCTGATTGCCTTTCAGACTGCTCAAACTGGATGTCCAGCAGGTGTTTTAAACTCAACACGTTCAAAACTGAACTCATCTCTCCCCCTAAGCCAGGGGTGTGGAACCTTGGGCTTCCAGGCCACATGTGGCCCTCTGGGTCCTCAAGTGCAGCCCTTTGACTGAATGCAAACTTCCCTGAACAAATGAAAGGATTTGTTCTGTAAAACTTGGACTCAGTCAAAGGGCCCCACCCAAGGACCTAGAAGGCCACAGATTCCCCATCCCTGCCTAAACCCACCCTCCCTCTAAACTTCTCTATTGCTGTCGAGGGCACCACCATCCTCCTGGTCCCTCAGGCTCCCAACCTAGACATCATCCTGGATTCCTCATTCTCTCTCACCCTCCCATATCCAATCTGTTGCCCAGGCCTGTCAATGTCAAGTCTGCACCAACTCTCCAATGCCCCCTTCTCTCCTCTGACACTGCTCCCACCCTGGCGCAGGCCCTCATCACCTCCCTTCTGGCCTATTGCAGCAGCTTCTGGTGGCTATGCCTGCCTCAATTCTCCTCCCACTCCAGTCCTTCCTCCAGCCCCCAAAGTAATTGAAAGTGATTTTCCTAAAGTACAAGTCCAGTCATGCCACCTCCCCCTTCCCCCTACTCAATCAACTCAGTGGCTCTTTATCACCTCCAGAATCAAATACAAGATCCTTTGTTTGGCTTTCAAAGCTCTTTATAATCTAGTCCTCCAACCCTACCTTTCAAGTTTTCTTACACCTCATTCCCCACCGTGTACTCTTCAATCCAGTGACTCTGGCCTCCTGGCTGTCCCAGAACAAGACACTCCATCCCTTGGCTCTCAGTCTTTTCTCTGGTTAGTTTTTCTGAATTCCCCCTCACCCCCACCCCCTTGTTTCTTCTTTGTTATAAAGAATGGCTTGCTGAGTAGGGGAGTGGTCAGGGGAGGGATATATTTGGAGAGATGGATCTTTTTAATGTAGATGGGGAGGCTCCAGGCCAGGGACAGTGACAGGGACAGTCTGCTTTGAAGGTGCAGAGAAGGCAGAACTGAGCTGCTCCAGTCAGCTGCAGTTTCCCCACCTCCCACCGCAGTCTCTTAACGACTCCCACATTGGCCACAACATTAGAGGGGAGCAGGGCCAGGCAAGCTTCTTTCTTAATCTTCTTTAGGGGAGGGATTCCAGATGATCAGGCGAGCAAGAGGCCTCCAGCTTTCTCTAGAATTAACCCCAGCATTAAGCTCAGTGTGCCCCAGCTCCTGCCAGGGCTCTCTACTCTTTGGGTTCCGGGTACACTGATACCAGAGGGTCTGGCTCCTTTTTTGCTGGTGGAGGAGTTGGGGGAGGGGCTCACTTGTCAGCCAGGGGGCGGCCACTCACTGAACCTGGGTCCAAGGAAGGATTCCTGGGTAACAGCTGTTGGAGTAGCCAAGAGGAGGCTGTTAGGGACTGATAGGGGGGTGGTGAGGCTAGCTCAGGGGCTTGGAAATGACAGGACTCCTGGCCCCCAGAGGGGTCCCTGCCACAGCCCTCCTCTGGTTTTCCATCTCTTCCCTTCTCAGCTCTTCTCTTTCAGGGCCTTCTGGCTTCCGAGGAAGCCTCAATCTGTAGCCACTTGGGGGCATTAGCAAGGCCCCCCATAGTCTCACTGGCTTTTAGATCCAGAGCTGGAAGGGGTCTCAGGAGCCATGTAGTCCAATCCTCCCATTTTACAAAGAGAGAAACTGAGGCCCAGGCAGGGAAGGGACTTGTCTAAGCTCACACACCAGCATGTAGATTTTAAAGTCCCTAGAAGGAATTTTAGAAGTCATATAGTCCAACCTTCTTCATTTTAAAGATGGGGAAACTGAGGCCCAGAAAGTTAATCGACTTTTTCAAGGTCACACATAGGAGCATAGATCTAAAGTTGGAAAAGACTTCAAAGGCCATCTAGCCCCACCTTCTCATTTTTACAGAAGAGGAAACTGAGACCCAGAGAAATAAAGTGACCTTTCCAAGGTCATACAGCTAAGTGACGATCAGAGCTTGAGCCCAAGCCCCCTGACTTGATCTAGTCCTTTTTCTATTACTCCATTCTGCCTCCCAAATGAAATAACATCCGAGGAGAAATTGAGGCCCAGAGAGTAGGCCTAAAGTTCCTTTTAGCTTAAAATCCAGGTGCCCCTGTGTGAGCTTAGACAAGTCACTAAAGTGACATGGTCAAGGCCACATAAGTAGTAAGTAGCAGAGCTGGATTTGAACTCAGGTCCTCTGCACCCTCTGGGCCGTGTGGAGGCTACAAAAAGGGCCCTCGACAAGCTAACATTCTGGTAGAGGGGATCAGAAAGCTATAGAAATAAAAATACAAAATGACAAGTGATCCATGCATATGAAAGGGCCAGGAGGGAGCCCAGCTCTGCCCCTCCAGTCCTAAGTAGACCATCTTGGCCAAGTCACCTAGCCTCTCTTTAATCTCAGTTTTCTCCTCCAGAAAATGGGAATGACATCTGTCCTCTCTTTGAGGGCCATGGCAAAGAAAGCACTTTCAAACTGAGGAACTGAGTTATTCCAAAGAAAGAGAGATCGTGCCTGGCCAAGGTCAATGGGGGAGGAACATTTGAGCTGAGACCCTGAAGAGGCAGTTCTATGGCATGAACTTTAGGAGTGGCAGTGACAAATGCAGGGAGGTAAGAGAATGGGTTTGGGGAATGGTGAGTGGTCCAGTTTTAAGATAACAACTGCCAGGAAACTGACTGCAGGTAGCTTTTCAGAAGTCCGAAAATTTCGTCTCTAAAGCCCTGGGTCTTCACAGTTCTCTCTTCTTTGGAGAAGAGTTCCAGAGCTAAACTAATTCACCCGAAAGTTGTTAACAAATCCAGGAAGAGATTGAATCCCTAATAACTAATGACCTAAGCAAGAGGAGGGAGGAAAAAAGGAATGGGGTGGGAGTGGTCTGGCAATGAGCAGCACGCCCAATTGGGGAGCTATATTGGACCTTCCTCCAACTCTCCCCCCCCCCCC